ACTTAGTACATGTTTGATTGCTTTTTGGGATACGTCTATTTGTTAACTTGTGTTAAACCATTCACTAGAAGTAACCATAAGTGAGAGTGGTAGGCCTAGTCAATAATAAGACCTGTGAGTTTCACTTTGTCTGTGTTGCTCATGAAGAAGAATCCAATAAAGGTTCTTCAAAACTGCCACCTGGTGGTGAAGTCTTGAACTACAAAAAGAGCTACACCTCTCTCTGTAGCTGTGAGGTGTCATGCTACAATATTGTGTTTGACACATGTGCACTGTTATAAAGAACTTGTAAGACTTACTAGAAAAAAATCCTCATAACAATTTGCACTGATGTTGATTAAGTAAATTTAAATGCTACAAATTCGTGTAATATTTACTCATTATGATCTAGTAGAGATGGGACAAATGGCTTTTTGAAGGGATCCGTTTGTTTCATAGAGCCACTCAAAAGAGCAGTTCGATTTTGAATGTATTACGTCATCACATAGGGAAATTTGTCATCACGTAGCTGTACGTAATGACGTCATCCCGTCACGTGGGTGAATGTGTTTGTCAAGTGGAAACCCCCCTCCCCCTTTCACCGTGAGCTTCTGTACTCCGCAACTCTGCCTGTTTTCCATGAAAAAGCAAAGCGGGAGCAATTTAAGAATGAAAAAAAAAAAATAAAGATATGAGGAATAAAAGAAATAAAACTACAAATGGTTTGTTAATGCCCGAGATTCGGCTCCTATCGTTTGTTGTGAAAAGCTGTTCAAAAGATTCAGATCGTTCACGAACGTCACAACTCTAATTTACTCATCATTATCTAGTAAAGTTATTAAGAATATAGTTAAAGATTTGTGAATAAATCAGGTAAATTTTACTTAATTTCATCAAGTATATGTTACAAGATTTAATTGAGCAAATGAAGTAAATCTTACCTGATTTATTCACAAATCTTTAACTATATTCTTGATAACTTTTACTAGATAATGATGAGTAAATATTACATGAATTGCAAGCATTTAAATTTACTTAACGTTAGTGCAAATTTGTTAGAGGATTTTTTCAAGTACATCTTACAAGTTATTTTTTTCAGTGAATAAAGGAGACTTATTGCTGTAGATGAGCCTGTTTTTTAGTCACATTTAAAAGAGAAGTGATGCTGAAGCTGTTAAAGAGCAAAGATCTCAGCTGGCTGGGACAAACGAGGACCTGCAGGGGGAAACCTACCCTGAACGGACCCCCGTTTCCGTCATCCAGCTCTAAGATGTATCCCTCAACAACGATGGTGGAGAGCGGCGGCTGTTTCCATGACAACGTGGCGCTGTTGTTCTGCGTGCAGCATTCCTCCAGCTGGAGCATGGGAGCAGCTGGGACTGAGGAGGGGGAAAAAACTGGCCAGATTACACACACACATGCACATATCATGTCTTTATACATACACACGTTTGTTCTTCTATCCTCATGGGGACTTTGAATTAATTTTTATTCATTTACCAGTCATTTCTACAGCCTAATCATAAACCTCACCTCACCTGACTCTAAAACTAACCTAAACTTCAGTGGTGGGCAGCACTAACCCAAAAATTGGCTTTGCAATTTCAAAAGCACTTATAAAAATATTTAGGTCCGCAACTTCAAAAACACATATGCCGTAGAAAAACTAGTGGAAGCCAATTTTAAAGTGCAAGTTCAATTTGACACTTACAAGCTGACAACAATTCATGTACAATATACAGTATGTACAACACTGCCAACTAGCAGTGTATGCATCCTTTTACAGCTTAATGCTATAAGCGTCGATTACTGGGGATGTGATTTCCTGTAACAGACCTTTAGCTCGTGGTGTAAAAAATTTAAAAAATTGTTGAGGATTGCTAGTTCGGCTGCTTCTTTGTTTTTTCTTTTGTTTGTTGTAGATTTTTCATTAAAAAAGTATTAATAAAGTAATTTTAAAACTGTTTATTGGAAAACTGAAGCGATGCATTCTGGGAACATGACGGATTTGATTTGTGACGGGAAATGAAAGTTTTCCATGTAGTTGCTCCAGTTGACCACTAGATGTCAGTCTAACCCCGTTGGCCGATTGCTTCAACCAATTACGTCAAGTTTTGAGCTCCAGCGTTTAAACTTTTTTTTTAAAAAGGAGCTCCGATTGTAAAGTAAAAATAAATCAATACATACAAAATTTTAGTATGGATTACAAACATAAACTGTTTTTGCTGGGCTTTTGTCCCCATAAGAAACAGTGGGTTCTAACCAGGCTCACACACACGCCCTGACATGATTTGACTCTGCAGTGTTCACAGACATGATCTGCATTAATCAACTTGTTCTTTGATGCTAAAACCAAACCAGACTTCTCTGAGATTTTGAGTCATTTCAGGAGAAACTCCAGACTGTGTGAAACAGCTGCACGTGTCCAACACATGGCTTCATTTTTGGGAGATTTAAAAGAGCTAAACAGGTCAGGTTCAGGAGCGAGCTTTCTTTAACTCCACACTCAAGGGACTGCTGTCACAGATAGAGAAGCTCACAGAACAGAACCCAGGAAACACATCAAACACGTAAATATCACAGTGAAATAAGGGTTTAATTTCCACATCTTTACAAGCGAACTCAGAGAAAGAGCAGAAATGGCCTCTTACTGCAGAATGAAACTGTTCTTACCTTTCATCTGCACAAAGTCCAGCTGGTGGATGGTCTGCTGCAGGGGTCCGCTGTCCAGGGTCAGGTCAAAGTCGCTGGTCATCCTCGGGGTGAGGGTTCCCTTCCCCCACTGACTCTCTGTCATGTGGACCCTCCGGATTAAAGCGTCCGAGATCTGAGACGAGCACAGGACAAACGGGTCAAACTGGTAAACAGGTCGACAGAAATCAAGTCTTTTACCTCTTAAAGTACATTTCCTGTTCAAAAAAAGTGTAATAAAAACAAAATGCAATGTTTTGCAAATAATAAAACCATATTTCACTCACACTGGATCAGTGTAAACAATCAAATGTTGAAACCAAGATATAACAGCTGTGCCAGTTAAAAAAAAGAAAATTTTAAATTTTTGGGAAGTAACACATCTGAAAAGGTTTGTTCTGGAGCAGCTAAAGGCTGTAAAAGTAAACAGTCCAAATCAGAAACAGCTGAATCATTATGAACAGGTCAGTCAGAGGACTGAGTGTAAAACTTTACAGACTGAGTCAGTCAGAGGTAAACATGAGCAGAAGTTCACCAGTCTGAGAAAAACTGTTCAAAAACTGTAAAACTATTTCAAAATTAAGTTCCTTAACAGAAAAAATGGTAAAACTTTGAATCTCCATCATCCCCAGTTCTTAGTTTCACTAACAGATTATAATCTGTATTATTCTCAGAGTGTTTGATGTGTTCCATTGTGAATCAGTGTTGTTTTTGACTGCCATTTTAATTTTAGTCTTTTAAACAAAAATAGWTTGTAGTTTTAGTCAGTTTTAAGTCATTTCTATATTTAATAGTTTTAGTCCAGTTTCAGTCGATGAAAGCTTAAAAAAGTTTAGTTTTAGTCTTAAAAAAACAACATATTAGTCTTTACAAATTAATTTGAGTAATTTGTGTTAACATTTGTGAATTTGTGTTACTCTAAAAATGCCCAAAACCAAAACATTCTCACCTTGTGGCTTCATTTCTCAGAACTGCTAAAGTGCAATGAACATACACAACACACGTGTCCAATATTATAAGCAATAAAGGGGAACAAACATGTTCAACCCAAACTTGTCAGCCAGGATGATGAAGATGCATCTTATTTATAAAAACGGACATCATGCAGTCCTAAACTTAGTTAGTAGACTATTAAACTTGTGCAAACGAGTGATTCAGAACAGAAGCACTGRCATGCGCAGTTGCTAACCCCCCTGGGCCAAAACAAAACAATTTTTTTTTTACTTTTGTCATGAGTGTAAACAAAGAGCTTCTGAGCTCACAATGGAGCTGCAACAGCTTTTAATGGTGGAGATGTTACTCCCTGGTTAAAGTGTATCTTACCCCCCCGTGAAAAGATAACTCCGCCCCAAGGCGAAATTTGAAAAATGCATCAAAGTGGGTGGGGGTGGGGGGTTAGAGAGCGGAGGTGTGGCCAGGACGAGAGAACGTGACAGCTAGCATTGACATAATT